TTCTTCAAGATATTTTCTATTATAATAGAATGAAAAATGAGAAATTAAATAGAACAGACATGAGCGTTATAATAAATCAGATCGTTGATAGAAATTAGCTGTCGAAATGATTTTTTTTTTTTTTTTTTTTTTTGAACCTAACCTAATCTAATCTCCTATGTGAAACATACGATACAACAATCTGTGACATTTATGCCAATTATTTATTTCTTTATTGTCACTTGATTTTTTATATCGAGCATTTATCAAATTTATCAAATTTTAACCAATTATTTAAAAAACAAATCAATTTTAATTTGCTAAAAAAAATGTGTAAATAATACATAGTTGATCACATAGTATTTCACATTGGATATTTGATATATTTTATAAAATTCTATATCAATTTTTGATATATAATATATTTATTATTTTATTCTATATTCTAATAGTCTACAATAGTTTAAAACAAAAATAAAATATATGATAAAGAATTGTACATAAAAACTAAGTATATTCAAGAGATTGAACTTTTGAAATTAACTGTATATCTAATCTTTATGAAATTATGGAAAGTACATAATTCAAGTTTTATTAAATAAAATATTAAAATATTATATATATAAATAATTTCTTCAGTTAAAAAAAAATAAATAAAAATTCAACGATCATAATAAGATTACTTTGTAACACGCTAATTGATATACAGTTTTAAAAATTTAATAATGGTAACTCGTAAAAGTACCGTTAAAGCCAATTTTAACGGAGATTGACCTGTTCAGTCGGTTAGTATCCTACCTGGATGTTTGTCGAACTATTTCACGGAAAGCAACCAAGATAAATCGAATGCAAATTTTTCCTGATCGTTATCCTCGTATTATTTTTTATCAAGGATTACAGTTTTTTATCATTTCTTACAGTTACCACTGTAAAGAAATTTTCGAAATTTATATTGTCCTTTGTATATTATCTTTTTACAGATATTTAACTTCGAAGAATATTTGAAGAACAAAGAAACGATTTCTCAAGATATTTGATAAATAGGAATGATTAAATTTTAACTACATATTAAGTAGCGAAAAATAAAAATTGCACAATTCTTTGCAATCGATGGATAAAAATACTTTGAAAGATAGAAAATCTTGTGAAACATATGTTCGCGAATAACAGCGAAGATTATTCACTTCATTTTTGAGTAAAAATTAATTAAAAAAATAAAAAATAAAGCACTTTTAAAAGTTGCTTTTAATTATATATATATATATATATATATATGTTAATAGACATGCAGAGAATTATAAATATGTTAATTGTAATATTATTTTCTTAATATCTGTCTCGTTGATTTCAATTATTTTTAAGTATATAAGTAAAAGAGAGGAACAACAATCTTCGAAGTCTCAAATATGTAATCTTTCTATAATTTCCAAAAACTTAAATTGTAATAAAATAGTTTAATTCTCGTGACAAACATATTCAAAATGATATAGAATTGTATTTAGTTGAGTAAAATGTCACACAAATTAAATTGACTTTCTTCTGCGATAACAGATAAAGTTTCGATAAGGAACGTCGATCAAAGAATCTTAAAACACATGAAATATACGAAGAGATTTTCAAAATTTCATATCATTCGCAGAGGCTTAAATAATAATTATTCAAAAAATGAAAAATAATAACAACTTGATCCTTTTGAGATTAATGAAGTTATTTGAATAATCTTTAAATAAACGATCAATTATTTTTTTTCAATATGTTTCATATCGAGAAAATTTAATTTAATATCGTATCACGTTGGAAATTATTAATAAAAATAAATTATTAACATTTTTAATACGAAAATTAATTAATTAATACGTAGAAAAATTTCCAACAATTTCATCATTATATTGTTAAATCTTTAACGACGCGGTCTTCAGTTTGTTTAGTCAAACAATTTTTTCCAGTAATTACGTTTCCCTGAAATATTCAAACGATTTCATATTATTTTTCCATGAAACGAAATTACAAGGAAATAAAACTGATAACATGATGCGAGAATTTTATGAAAAAAAATTCTTCCTATTTTTGATTTTTGCACAATGTAATCTAGTGTATTCAGTGATAACCAGAAAGACATAGAAACTCAAAGAAGAAACAGATCTATTTTCTCGTCTCTCCCTTCTCGTCTACTTTTTCTTTTCTTTTTCTGTCTGTCGAGTTGTCACAGAAATAGCAAACTATATGCGAAATACAGGCATTGGGACACTTGAAATGTGAACTGGGCCGATTTTATATTAAAACTTATAATATTTATAAATTTTTCAATTTTCTGGAATGGATAAAAAAATAGAACAATAGATAATTTTATAAATATTCACAAATGAAAATGATTTCAAAAAACGTTTATCAATTAATGCGTGAAAAAATTAATTCATACAATATAATATAATACGTTTCAAAAATATATTCCCCTCTTTTAAGTTAAAATATCTTATCCGTTATTTTATTATTTTTCGAATTATGTGGATATATTTGAAGTTCGACAGATTTTTCATTCTTTTATGCCAATTTAGAAATATGTCATATATATTTTGTACTTGTAAACGCTAATTTTTTTTTTGTTTTTGTAAACAAAAAATCAATAATAAAATTCATTTCAAATGTTTCGAATTGTTAAGATCGGGACATTTTAATTAAGGAGAGACAGTGCAGAGCTTTCCATTGTATCAGTTATCAAGCGATAAAGATAGAAATCGATTTGATTGCCAATTATTCCAATTACGATCACCTGGCGCAAAATTTGTTGACATTGATGAGGAATACGTATACGTATACCTTTGTGTAAGAGGAAACGTGTTCATGCTGTGGATTTTTACACGATCTCTCGTGTCACGAAATGAAATCACGTTCTCACGAACGAAGAAGCCCCGAGAAAGCAATCGTCGTTGCCGCGTGGCGTTGAAACAAGATCTATCGGTGAGCGCATCGTGCGTGAATCGTGATAACGTTTCTTATCGGTATCTTGCGAAAAATGAGATCAAGACATGAACTTCGCCTCTTGCTTCAAGTCGCCATTTTTTTTTTTTTTTTTTAACGTTTTTAATCAAAGAGAATCGGAAAAATCTGTCTTACCATTAAAGTTTACGATTTGTTAAATTTATAATTAAAAAAAATCTTTTTTAAATTCTTAAATAATTTTAATTTTTTCTAGCGTAAAAACTAGATGAATAAACAAAGCAAAATTTACATTCACAAGCAAAATTTATAAAGAGTTTAATAGCATAATTGTTTCTGACGATAGATAATAGCATAATTGTTTCTGACGATAAGATATACTTTTATAAGATAAAACTTTCCAACTTTTTTTAAAAGAATTTTAAATAAATATTTTCGAATTAAAAAAATTTATTTTATTTGTAACTTTTTCGAGATACAAAAATAATGTTTTTTTTTTTTAAAAAAAAACTTTTTAAAATTCTAATAGAGAAATAATTTGAAAAGCTCTAAATCTAAATCCAATATTCTACATTTTAAAAACGTTAGAATATCATTATAAAATGATTATACTTAGACACAAGTGTTAAAATATAAATATGGAATTTTAAATCACGAGTTTGTTATTTCTGCATAGTTTCTTTTTATTCGATTAAAAATGGTTTGGAGAAGTCGTGTCACAGTAAAGATCGTATTATCCACACGTTTTCAAGCGATTCCCGTTGTTATTCGTCAATATAATACAACCGGATTATAATACGTCATCAAGGAATTTGATCTCTATAAATAATTGTCGTGGAGTTAATTATCACCGTGACCATTTAAATCATTCTCACAGCTGAAAATCATGCGTAAAAATGTATGTTTTGATAAATATTTTGATGAAATTCATAACTCTATCAGAGAATAAAAATGTAATAAATCTCTTATTAAACAATTGCATGATTTCATGCTTTATATTTCGTGTAATATATATATATATATATATATATTAATATTTCATAAACAAGCAATTATGCATTTTTTTGAAAGAGATACAAAAATAAGAAGATAAAAAATGTAGATAAATAATATAAGTAAAAGATTCTCAATTCAAAATAAAAAAAAAAGTTATATGAATCAATAAATAAAATTTAATAACGTTTGAATTTTAAAAAAATGTTTAAAGATTTTGAAAAATCCTTTATAAACTAAACAAAGAAAAGTAACGTAAAATTTCATCATTCAAATAAATATAAAAAATTTTAAGCTTTATATATTAACTTTAAAATGCCGAAAATTTCAAATTAATTCTAAAATTAAAAACTTGATCGTCAAAACTTATTCATCAATGGATTCTTATAATTTATAAATATATATATAATTTATTAATTAAAAATAATAATTTGTTAAAGGAACAATCTATCCGCGCCACGTATCACAAAAAAAAATTTACATTAAGACATTATCGCTTTTTGTTAGCGTAATTCTAAGAATAAATTTCCTAAGAGGAAAAGTGTTTTCATCTTTTTGCATTCTGCATGCCGATAACCGCGTGTCTATCAATGAGTAGCAATCCATGAATGAAAGAAATGATCGATAAGTACGGTAACGGGGTAAGGAGAATGACTTCTTTAGTAGTATTATCGTACGTATTTATCATGGTACGAAAATACTATTGTTTTAGAAGAAAAAAATATTAAACATTTTGAAACAAGAACACAAATTTGAATATCTATTTGAATCTATTTGAAATTTGAATTTTGGAGACTGGATGATTAAATTGAATAATTTAATTTCTTATTTTGACAAAAATAGTTATAAAAAATTCAATTTTTATTTAAAAAGTTTATTAGAATGATGTAAAAAAACGTAAAAAATAAATTGAAAATTTGAAAATACTCAATAACTTCAAGCAATAACTTCAATCAATGATGATCATCTTTAATAAGAACAACGTATATGGAAATCCCTAAATATATACTTGTATTTCCTCTTCTTTTCTCTTTTCTTTTCATTTCTTTTTCTCCGTTTTTTCTCTTATTCTTTCCGCTTTATTCCTCTAGGGACTGAGAGATGTCCTCAGAAGGGTGTCGTGAAACAAGTGTCTTCGAAACTGGTAAGGGCGCTGTCCGAGAAAGGATTAGCCTTGCTTGTCAACCATGGTATTCCAGAATGCAAGGTACGTATTTTCATCCATATTGATTTCGCATAATTTTTAACCGTCTCTTCTATAATTATCTATAATATTATTACAATTAATATATTTATACAATTATATTTATAGATACAGATATATTACAATTAATATAATATATTTAAAAATTAAACATTGTTTCTAAATTATTTTAAATTTTTGTATCTAAATTACAATTAAATTTGAAATAAAGATCTTGAATCAATATTCAAATATTCAAGTTACTCGCTATTGCAAAGTACTTACACAAGTAATTAAGTTCCGAAAGTTTACTCGACTCGCGTCTCAAGCACTTGATTCATTTTAAGTAAGAAAAGTGCTCGACTCAAATTTCGGATACTTGATTCATTTCGATAACCAGACCTCTATAGCCATATATCTAGCTAGGATATCAACTACTTAATTCTATAAAATAAATTTCGTCCCACTATTTTATACTCAACCATTCAGTTCGATACTAATTTAAGTTTCAAAAAAGTATTTAACTTGATAAATTCTAGGAATTTTATCATAAATAATTCATCATTATCATAATAATTTTATTAATACGTTAATATTATATTATAATATAATTGGAATATACAAATTCGTCCATTAATAATTTAAATCGATTCAATTAATAATTATTGTTATTAATAATAATTTTATTAAATAAATAAATAATTGTGTGGTATGTGTACTTATCAACTACTAATTACAAATTTATTAAATAAAATTTTGATAGTCATACAAATTCTTTTTTCGTATTTTCGATCGCATTACACGCTCGATGAGATTTTACCTTGTAACGAAACTCATGTCCTCGGTTAACTTACAAAATTACTCTCATAGAACCAGAATAAAAGAAGTCAAGGCGAAGTACTTACAACAAAAACCATTATTGAAGAAAAAGTGTATAAAACTTGCAATTTCAAAGAAAAGAGAAAAGATGAAATTAAAAAATAATTTTCTATCATTCGTTAAATTATATACAGAATGATTAAAAAATCATAAATTACTTATAATTTATTTATAATAATAATTAATTGTTCATATCTTTAAAAAAATCATTTGCAGATATTTATATTTTGAACTTTCTCAAAAATATTTAATTCTTTGTCCTTTCTCTACATTTTTACAGTTCTTTATTTTAAAATAAATTTTTAGAAATTTTTAGAAATTTTTAGAAATTGAATAATTTTATGAAATTTTTCAATTTTATAACCAATAAGAGCAATTTAATATCATCAAATCTCAAGCAATAAAACTGCATATCTATATGTTAACAGACAATCATAGAAAGAGTCCATCTTTGCCAAGTGAAGAAGATTTATATGATATTATTTTTTAAAATTAATTGAAAAATATTTTCATTTGATAAACTTCATAATGAAAAAGAAGATTATTATGATCTTATTAATAGTTTTGCAACTTTCGGTTCAACCTGTATTAATAAAGATTTCGCAATGTTTTCATGACAAATTTTTAAGAATCATAAAACAGACGATAAAACAATAAGTGGATCTTACGTGATAACTTTGCTAGTTGACGAGATTTCTTATCCTCAAGAAAAATTATCGTGATCGGTATATTATATTTTTACGAGATAATTTATTCGAAAAAAAATAATGCATATGATCTATTACAAATAGGTTCATATATTTATATCCTTTATCTCTATGTCTAGATTTAATTTATTTAATTCATTTGATGCATGCATTTTACTTCCCCGATTATTGATTAATTTAAAAAGAACAAATATCTGGAATGATTTGTGAATGAATTTTTTTTTTTAAGTTTTCTATTTTTATTTTTATTTTGTTTCTATTTTTATTTAAATCAATTTCAAATAGTTATCATTCCTTAATAAATTATTTATAATTTATTTTTTACTTTTTTTTTATTAATTATCTTTTTTAACACACATATGATGCACATCCATTAAAATTCTTAACAATATTTGAAATAGAATCATTAGAATTCAATAGATATAGTTTTCTAAAAGAAACGAAAAGAAATCAAACTAATAATATAATTCCATTCAATATATATTAAAAATTACTATATTTTTTTATCAATTCTTATCAAATAAAATATTGAATAAAAAAAATATGTATTATTTTTTATAATTTTGATGTATAAAATTTAAAATATTGTATATTGTATCGTAATAATTTTATTAAAAAAATATTACTATTCTTGGATTTTTCTATGCAATCTTCTTTCAACTTTTATAACAAAATGTCATTTTTTATCTTATATTTTTCATATATTTTCCTTTATCATTTGAATATATATTATGAATATCTTTCACAGTCAATAAGATGATATGTATATTTTACAATTCCGCAATTCAGCTGGTTGTGATAACAAAAATAGCACGCATCACTGTGATGAAAAATTCGACGTCATCATTTTTATCGATATCTCAAGGATTACCTGGCAAGGTTTCTGATATAAAAATTTTAATTACATAATGCTTGATGAAATTTAATGAAATATAATTGTAATATATAATTATTTCTATATTTTAATCACTAATCATTTAAATTTTTTTATAAAATCTACAGTTATTATGTATTTTTATAGATGAAGGCAGCGTATAGAGCTTTCGATGCATTCTGTGAACTTTCAGAAGATGTTCGAACTAAATATGAGCGTAATCCTATGGGCAATTACGGATACGTGAAGCCAGGACCGTCAAAGTAAGATTTTTACAATTATTAAAAATATTAATTGATTTTAAATTATTTTCTTTTGATTTTATTAAATAATATTATTTAAAATTATTGTTTTTTTTACCGATCTTTATTATATAGATATACTGATGAAAAAGAAGCTCGACATGTTTTCAATGTGATTGGATGCGGAGGAACTCTTCCGGATGAAGAAGTGCCTGGTTTCAGATTAGCAGTCAACGAACTCGCTCGAGATTTTAAACAACTGTCTGCTATGCTTTTAACTGTAATATCACTTTTTAAATTGTTATTAATTTTAATTTTTTAATCTATATACATATATATAAATAATATTTTCGAATCTAACTTACAAGATTAATATTTTATATTATTCTTTATTAATTTCAATGAAAAGCAATAAAATATTTATATTCAATCTTTTTATCAAAGTATTTAACTAAAAATGGATTTTTCATTTATTTGGATAAAGAATTTAAGCTTTTTAATTCAAAAATTTTTAAGAAAAAGAATTTTTATGAAATTAATCAAATTTATTTGATTATTATTTAGTATCATTAAATTATACAATATTGCATATTAAATTATGCAACATTTAAAACAGTTCTAAATATACTTCTTTTTTTTTTTCTTTATTAATATTTATTCGAAATTGATAACAATTCGAAATTCTTTATAGATTATTTAACAAAAATGAATTTCTTTAACTGTAAGTAACCTTATAAACCAATCTGTCCAATAAACAAACTAACATGATTGGTTTCTTCGGTTGCTTTACAGCCATTAGGTACTATAAAATAAAAATAGGGGCCAATGTATGTGATCTATACCTTATAGGCTCTGGCCGTGGGCCTAGAGCAATCCCCCGATTTCCTGCTCTCGAAGCATTCGCGCATGCTGGAATCTGGAAACGAATCAACTCTTCGTCTTCTTTACTACCCTCCTCTTGGTGCACCGGCACCAGGATTGGCTCGTTGTGGCGCTCATTGTGATTATGGAACTTTCACTTTATTAGCACAGGTAAAAAAATTTATAAAATTTAATAATAAAATGAATATAACTATGATTATATTTAGCATAAACTATATTCTTTTCAAAATATTTCCATCTTCAGATATTAGCAAATTATTTTTCTAAAAGATAATTTCATAATTAAAAAAAATCTAAGACAAATTTTTACGAAATTCATATTTAGAGAATATAACTTATATGGATATTTTTGCTTAAATTTAACTTATATATATTTTTTATTTAAATTTTTTTAATTGATTAAAATATATATTATAATATAATAAAAATAACTTTTATAAAATTAAAAATAATTTTTAATAATCTAATTATTTTTAGGATTGCGAAGGTGGTCTAGAAATACAGTCTCCATATGGAGAACGATGGGGAAGAGTTGGTCATCTTCCAGGCGCTATTTTGGTGAAAACTGGCGATATATTAGCAAATTGGACAAACAATCAATTACAAGCATTAAGACACAGAGTTGTTGTACCAGAACACTGTGGTCGAGGTCGTCATTCCATTGCATTTTTTGTGCATCCAGATACTAACACTCCTATTGAGCCTTTAGATACAAAAATTATAAAAACTAATCAAGAACCAGCTCCGTGTCGTTTACAGAAAAAAAAACGCGGTGTTTTGACTGCATACCATCATATTCAACGTCGTCTTCGAGAAACTTATGCTTCTTAACACTGTTCATAATTATATATTCTTATTTCTAGATAAGATATTTTAGAAAAATTACTATTGAAATTTGTATCGAAATTTAAAATTTTGAAATATTTAAAATAACATGATTTTATGTATTTAAAACATTATAAAACATTATAACTTTTAAAATTAATTTACGAATAATTGACTACAAATAATGTGACAACTCATAATAAAATTTGCCTATATCTGTTTCAAAAAAAGAACAAAAATTTGATTCAAAAAATGATGAAGTATGAAAACTAAAATATCGCATCACAAAACAATAATAAAGAAATTTGTACTTACATTTTGTAAAAATGCATTTTATACAAATAATTTAATTTCTCATTAATAAAGTAGAAGACAATCTAATATTTTGTAATTATTTATTTTATATTGTCCATATATAAATACAACAATACTAAATTAAAATCCAGGATCCCATTCAATTTTTTTTTTCTGTTTTTTTATATTGATACAAATGATAGTATCTCCAGGTTGAAATGATATCATTGGATCTTCAAATCTAAGACCACATTCATAATTTGTTTCTATCGATGACACTTCTTCCTTTAAATATCTCATTGATACTAATTTTCCTATAGTTTTTAAATATTATGATTATTAATTCTTTAATAAAAATATACAAAATATATAGTTTTTATTCAATATTAGTATTAATTCAATAAAAAATAAAATGAAATGAAAAATAAAGAATAATAAATAATAATATAATTTTTATTTTCAAACTAATAACAATAATAATTAACATATTTTTTAATTTTTTTGTTATTACCTGAATAAATATTTTCATTTCCTCTTATTACATGATATAATCCAGATTTTAAAAGAATACCTTTAATACAATGGCAACCTGCAACATTTACTTTTTTGTTTTTATCTTTTATAATAAAATTTTGCAATACTTTTGCTTCTCCTATATTTGAAAAGAATGAGAAATTATTATTATTATTTATAATTTATATAATTATATATAAATTATATAATTATATAATTATATATATATTATATAATTTATATGTTATATTTATATTATTATTATGTTATTACCTAATATCTCTTCAACATCAACTTCAGGCAAAATATTATAAATTTCTTCTTTAATATTATCAATAAGTTTATATACAATGTTATAAAATCGAAGAGATATGCCTCTTTTGTTAGCCTCATCTTTTATCTGTTTAGTTGCATTTACATTAAATCCATAAATAATTGCTAAAAAGATAAATAATGATTCCTGTATTTATAATAATAATGATATGTATTTAGGATATTCTTTTAAAATGTTACCTTTAAATGTATCGGCTAATTCTATGTCCGATTGCGTAATAGATCCTATATCATAATGAACAATGTTTAAGTGGCATATTGTATCATATGTATATGTATCAAAAATATCTAATAATGCTTCAACACTTCCTGCCATATCACCTTTTACAATAATATTAATTGCAGGAGTAAAATTTTCAATTTTATGTTTTTTCTTTTCTTCGGTTACCTTTTCTTTCACCTTTTTCATTATTTCTCTATCTTTTCCAAATAATCTTTTTATTTTTAACATCTTCTTATACTCCTGTAATTATAAAAACATATAAATTTTATTTTCATAAATTATTTTTATAAAATATAAATTTACCATGAGATGTTTTTCTAATTTTTGATCGGCAGCTGCTTTATGTTTCTTAGCTAAAATTTCAGCACGTTGTTTTTGTCTAAATTTTATAACTTCCTGTAGTATTTTATCATTTTCTACTTCTAATATTTCATCTCCAACATCAGGTAATTCTTTCCATCCTATAATTTGTACTGCTTCTGATGGTTTAGCTTCTAAGATAGGATTACCGGAATCATTAAACATACCTCTTACTTTTGCAGATGCTATTCCAGATACTATTTTTAAAAAAGAAACAATTAATGAAAATTACTTTAATCAATTTAATTTTATAAAAATTAATGCAATACATTTTACCTAATAAACATCCTTTTCTTAAAGTACCACGTTGGATTAAAGCTGTCACTAATTTTCCTCGTCCAATATGATTACTACATTCAATAATAACACCTTCCACTAAACCTTCAAGATCTCCTTTTAAATCCATTAATTCAGCTTGTACAATTATAGCTTCTGTTAATTCTCGTAAATTAATTCCTTTTAAAGCAGATATTTTAACACATTGTATTTCACCACCAAGTTCTTCAATTACAATCCCATGTTTTGCTAGTTCATGTTGGACTTTAATCTGAAAGAATAAAAAAAATTGTAGATTTATGTTTCTCAATTTTTTATCTTTAATTTAAAATATTTGAAACTTTAAAACATTACAATGTCAATATTAGGTTTATCGATTTTATTAATAGCCACAATAATTGGAACCTTGGCATCTTTTGCCATTTCTATACTTTGCAAAGTTTGTTCTTTAACACCATCATCAGCTGCTACAACTAATACTATAATATCTGTTATATGCGCGCCTCTATGTCGCATAGAAATGAAAGCAGCATGTCCAGGCGTATCTAAAAATGTTACTCGTTCTCCAGATTCCAATGTTACTAAAATTCAAATATTAATAATTTAAGTATAATTTTATTAAAAATATAAAAATATATTTTTATGCTAATTCCTACTTTTTTTTATATAATTTAATATATTTTATTACTATTTATTACTTCAATGACATTTTAAAATTTTAAAATTTAATTGAATTAAAATTTAATTTTGTAATAATAGAACAGGATATGATTCTTTATAAAAAAAAAAGAAAATAAATAATAGAAAGAAATATATTTTTTTTAATAAGGTTTATTTAATATTATTATTTTTAACATTTGATTTTGAAAATATATAAAGAATTTGTACATTTAATTCTAAAATATTTAAATGAACTATTATACTAAAATTATAATACATATTATTATAAAATTATTATATATATATATATATATATATATATTAATATTAATAATAATATTTTATTTAAATATTATATAATAGTTAAATATAATAATATATATTATATTAATAATATAACTATATTATTTAATATTATAAAAAATATTATAAATTTATATCAATAATAAACAAGTAATAATAGATACGATAATCAGTAATAAATCATAACATTATACTATAAAAATAAATATAAAGAAAAATATACATCAATTAGATTATTATCTAAATTATTATTATTATATATTATGTTTATATTTGATTTCATAATTTTCATAATTTTCATAATTGATTTTCTTGAAAATGAAGTCTTATTTAAAGACATTCTAAGATTTTTCATTTCTGATTTTTTATAAACAGATCCATCCTACTAAATACTGTAAATAGAGAGCATTCTATATAATAATGAAATTTGAAAATAAATGTTTAAAGATAATTAATTCAATACCAACCATCGAAAGCACCAATGCATTGTGTAATACCACCAAATTCAGATTTTGCAATTGATGTATTTCGTAATGCATCAAGTAAAGTAGTTTTACCATGATCAACATGCCCCATTATTGTTACAATTGGATGTCGTTTTATTAATTGAGATTCATTTGGTAGAGGCCTATATAAAATTAAACATATTATATAGTATATTTAATTAAAATGATTAAAAATTGTTGTGTAGTAAAAAAGGATAAAAAAGAATTCAAATTTTAGAAAGTCAAACTAGTCAAATAAAGAAAAAAGTTTTTTATTTTTTATTTATTTTTTAAAGTGAATAACTTATTCATTTTGAAAATTGATATATTGCATAAAAATAATGGATTATCTTATCATTTCTTTTTTTCCTAGTTAGAAGTTTTTATATATTTGTCTTTCTTTTGTACATATATTTGATATCTTAATATTTAGCACAATATTTCCTCAACTAAATAAGTCATCCACTTTAGTGAAGATAAAAAATTATAATTTTAAAAATTATAACTTTAAACTTAAAAATTATAACTTTAAATATTAATTTTTTAAGCTGTGTATATTGATTTTTGTTTTCTTATTTATATATCTATTTTTTTATTATATAATAATCATATTAATTCATACTACCGTTTAGTAATATCTTTATATTCCATATTAGTTTCTTTAATTTTTTTTGATATGAATTTGTGTTTCCCACCAAGATATTTTACTACATTAGTTAATAAAGGCATATTCGTTAAAATACTATTTTTTTCATATGGAAATTTTTTATTTATAAAATAAAGAACATCTAAAACATCATTAATATCCCTTTTGGCAGAATCTGCTAATTCTTTAACTGTCATGTTTTCCCATATTTCTATTATTGGTAATGATTTATTTTTAAATTCTTTATCTATTAAATTATTTAATTTGTCTTCATTAAATATTGTTTTCAGATTCTGAAAATAATTTGAATTATAAATATACATACATACGTACATTTTAATATATTTATAAATTATATTAAATCAAAATCATACTAGTTCTGTTTCTTCTTTAAGTTTTCTTTGTTTAGTAAAAACTGGTGTAACATGATAATGATGATGAATATGTAATACATTCATGGTTTGTATAGTACTATTTATATTTTGTTCCCGCCATATAATTTCTATTACTTGTTTTGATAAACTGTAAATAGATTATATTTAGAAAAAGTATATAATATATATAAAAGTATAATTTTATATATAAATTAAAATTTTAAATATTTAATAATAATAAAATATATTAAATACATAATATTATTAATATATATGTAAACATATATAAATATATTAATATAATAATATAATAATAAATATAATATTGAATGTTTAAGAATAATATTATAAAGGTTATGTTTATGACTTGTGTATAATAAATACACAATAGGAATTGTGTATTTATGTATGTAACATATTTATATATGTTACATATTTGTGTATGTAAACATATATAAATTATATACATATATATATATATATATATACATATATTATAATATATATATACATATATATTATAATATTGAATGTTTAAGAATAATATTATAAAGGTTATGTTTATGACTTGTGTATAATAAATACACAATAGGAATAAACATTATATGCAAATATATTTATTAAATATTATATAATTTTATAAATAAAAAAACAAGTTATTTATAATTCATAACATCAAAAAAAATACAAAATACCTAGATTGAATATATGTTCTGATAATAGAAGCAGCCATATTTATTCTTACATATTTATATACGAAAAAAATATTCATATATTGATATGTTTAATTTATACACTCATAATTTTATATATTATAAAGAAGATACAGAATAAATCTAATATTAACGCATTTTTTATTTCTCAAAAATACTAAAGTTATTTTATTGTTATATTCAATATTATCGAATCGACTC